CACACACACACTGCATCCCTTACACATTGCACCACTCACACACACCACTGCTCCTATGCCCTACTACAGCCCCATTTCCCAGCAGATCTCAGGTAAGTTGTCAAACTGTTCTTAAACGGTTTGACTACTTACTTTGGGAGGGGGTCCCGGCACTATTGACACCATAACCACTACACTGAGCTGTAGTGGTTATTGTGTCTGGATTATTTCTTTAAATAATCTACAAGTGCCCTCCCGAGATCAGGCTCTGGATCCGCCACTGCCTAGGAGTGGCCGCCCTGTAAAGATGACTCCAAGAGCACAGCGCAGACTGCTCAGTGAGGTGAAGAAGAATCCTAGAGTGTCAGCTAAAGACTTACAAAGTCACTGGCAAATGCTAACATCCCTGTTAGCGAATCTACAATACGTAAAACACTAAACAAGAATGGATTTCATGGGAGGATACCACAGAGGAAGCCACTGCTGTCCAAACAAAACAGTGCTGCACGTTTACAGTTTGCACAAGAGCACCTGGATGTTCCACAGCAGTACTGGCAAAATATTCTGTGGACTGATGAAACCAAAGTTGAGTTGTTTGGAAGAAACACACAACACTATGTGTGGCGAAAAAAAGGCACAGCACACCAACATCAAAACCTCATCCCAACTGTGAAGTATGGTGGTGGGGGCATCATGGTTTGGGGCTGCTTTGCTGCCTCAGAGCCTGGACGGATTGCTATCATCGAAGGAAAAATGAATTCCCAAGTTTATCAAGACATTTTGCAGGAGAACTTAAGGCCATCTGTCTACCAGTTGAAGCTCAACAGAAAATGGATGTTGCAACAGGACAATGACCCAAAGCATAGAAGTAAATCAACAATAGAATGGCTTAAACAGAAGAAATACCCCTTCTAAAGTGGCCCAGTCAGAGTCCTGACATCAACCTGATTGAGATGCTGTGGCATGACCTCAAGAAAGTGATTCACATCAGACATCCCAAGAATATCGTTGAACTGAAACAGTTCTGTAAAGAGGAATGGTCAAGAATTACTCCTGACCGTTGTGCACGTCTGATCTGCAACTACATGAAACGTTTGGTTGAAGTTTTTGCTGCCAAAGGAGGTTCAACCAGATATTAAATCCAAGGGTTCACATACTTTTTCCACCTGCAATGTGAATGTTTACATGGTGTGTTCAATAAAAACATGGCAACATTTCATTCTTTGTGTGTTATTAGTTTAAGTAGACTGTGATTGTCTATTGTTGTGACTTAGATAATGATCAGATCACATTTTATGACCAATTTGTGCAGAAATCCATATCATTCCAAAAGGTTCACATACTTTTTCTTGCAACTATACCTCCCCATTGGACAGGAATATCCCGCGTGACCGAAAGAACGATCCCAGCGCCACCATTTAAAAGACAGCACAGAGGTTTTCTGCAAACAGCCAACTGAGTAACTGCACTTATTGGACTATACCCAATGTTTGTTTTTATTTTTATATTTGCCTATTTGTTTTTAGATTTTTTATTATCAATAAATCTTCGTTGGATTCATCCGGTGTTCAGACCTGATCCCGTTTGACTTGTGTACATCATAGGGGTAGTGTCACCGCCAGTGGTGTATCCTGGTTTAGTGCTGCCCTAGGCAGGACAAAACTCAGGCACCCACCCGCGCCACCCCCACCCGCGCCACCGCCACCCAACCTTCCCCCCTGCTCCGCCTTCTAAATACACACACATTCACTGACAGATACGCATTCACTAGCTAACAGAAACACACAGTCACTAACAGACACACACTCACACACTCACTAACAGACACACACACTCACAGGCAAACACACACACTAACAGACATCCACACTAACACTAACATACACTAACATTAACATACACACTAACACTAACAGACACACACACTAACATACACACTAACAGACACACACTAACAGACACACACTAACAGACACACACTAACAGACATCCACACACACACACTAACATACACACACTAACACTAACATACACACTAACAGACACAAACACTAACATACACACACTAACAGACACACTAACATACACACACTAACAGACATCCACACACACACACTAACATATGCACACACTAACACTAACATATACACACACACTAACACTAACACTAACATACACACTAACAGACACTAACATACACACACTAACAGACACACTAACAGACATCCACACACACACACTAACAGACACACACTAACACTAACATAAACACTAACATACATACACACACACACTAACAGACATCCACACACACACACACACTAACATACATACACACACTAGTGGGTTTTTTTTTGGTTTTTTTATTTAACCCCCCCCAGCCTCCTTACCTTTGGTAATGCTGGGGGGGGTTCTTCCTCTCCCTGGGGTCCAGTGGCTGCAGCGCTGGGCGGGCGGGCGGCCGCCGAGGGAGCTCTTCCCCTGAGCGCTCTGCTCAGCTCCCTCGCGCGCCGCCAGCAGCGTGAGGCCGGGAGCCGGAAGATGACGTCATCTTCCGGCTCCCGGCCTCACTCTGCTGGCGGCGCGCGAGGGAGCTGAGCAGAGCGCTCAGGGGAAGAGCTCCCTCGCCGCCCGCCCGCCCAGCAGCCCAGCATGTCTGTTAGCCGCGAGGCTAACAAGACATATGCCTTGGGCATTTGGGGGGCGGCGTTTTTTGCCGCCCCCTGAAGAATGCCGCCCAAGGCAAATGCCTTGTTTGCCTCGCGGCTAATACGCCCCTGGTCACCGCATAACTTTACACCTTGCTTTCCTACCTCAGAGTCAGGCTTATCAGGCTGTGAATAAGGTGAGCTTAACATCTTCCCATATATGTTAAGTCACTGTTGTTTGAAACTCACTGCACTACTGTATGCTTTCTATTTCCTTTTATGTCCAGAGAACATTCACTTAATATCTACCAGAGGTATGATGCTGCCTTAAGAGCATAAAGGTTCCTCCTACTGAGCCAGTTACCACACAGGCTCTAGTCCAGGGCTCAAGTCCTGAAGGTACGCGTGGGAACGGCGTTCCTGTACTTTTTTTAGAGCAGGAACACCGTTCCTGCTGTTCCTGCAGGCACTCAAGGGGCAGCAATTTATGTCATGGGGGGGCCCAAGAGGTGGCCGATTGGCCACCTGATGGAGCCCCCATTGCGGGCGCCTGTCTCCATATCAGACATGGTGAGGGAGCTGTGTTCTCTCTGCTCCCTCTCGCCGCACGCCATTTGCTGATGCCGGGAGCCGGAATATGACATCATATTCCAGCTCCAGGAATCAGTAGATAGCCCGCGCAGCGAGAGGGAGCAGAGAGAACACAGCTCCCTCGCCGCGTCTGATATGGAGACAGGCACCCGCCCCACTTGACCCCAGGGACAGGTCCACGCCAGCTCTCCAGGTAGGGAGGCTGGGTGGACATTTTTTTATTTAAAAAAAATAATAATTTGTGAGTGTATGTGTGTGTGTGTCTGTGTATGTGTGAGTGTATGTGTGTGTCTGTGTATGTGTCTGTGAGTGTGTGTGTATGTGTCTGAGTGTATGTGTGTGTGTGTCTGTGAGTGTGTGTGTCTGTGTCTGAGTGTATGTGTGTGGGTCTGTGAATATATGTGTGTGTGTGTGTGTCTGTGAGTGTGTGTCTGAGTATGTGTGTGTGCACCTGTCAATATGTGTGTGCAAGCGTATATATATATATATATATATATATATATATATATTTATATATATATATATATATATATATATATATATAAAAGTGTATATTATTTTGGGGGTGGGGGGGATCTTGGGTGAGTTGCCACACTTTTTTCCCCAGGACTTGACCCCAGCTCAAGTCCATGTGAGTTGATATGTACCTTGTATACTGAACTATTAGCACTTCATACCATCTGCACTATATTTTCTATGTGTTGTTATTTCATATACTTCATATAACGCTACATTCCCCCCCGCATACCTTTAAGGGGTAAGCACTCCTATTTATGCATGTTTAACTTTCCACCTAGTGCTCCATTCTAATATAGATTTAATATCTATATATCCTTTATTTATGCAGTGGATAGTACCTACCTAAAGTGGTGCAAGGAAGGACAACCAGTGAACCGGCATCAGGGTCATGGGTGAGTGATGGCTAGCCGTCTGGTCTGAATTTCTAAAAACACAATGCTGGCCATGATAGAAAGGTTACACATCAACAATAAAAAAGGTATACCTTTAAAACATATAGTGCATACATAAAGTGCACACAGTGCAAGTGACAGTGCACTTATAGAGTGTTATATTCTGTATGTAATATATACAATAAAGTGCATGTAAATTCCAAGTGCAAAAAGTGATAATGAATAATAAAAACTTACTATGAAAATTAAATTAGGGACTTCATAATTATCTCCCAGGAATACATTGAGACATAATGGATGAAAACAAAAAAGGAGAAATTATAGTGTAATATTGTAACACCACAGAAGGTAATGTAAGCAAATTAAATAAACTAACAAGAAAGGAGCAGTGGAAGTCAGCTCCAACTTTGTGGCATTAGTCCTTATACTCAGGAATGAGAGATCGTTGATGACCAGGACGGCAACTGGATATGAAGAAATCCTTACTTTATTAAAAACAAGGTAAAAAAACCACAAAAAGTGATTAAGCTCTTTCACCCAAATTAAGTCTTTATCGATCTGTATGCAGTCTTATCAAAACTCACGGCTAGCACTAGCGATTTCCAAGCGGCAGCAACAATGGGGAATACTTCCGGGGAATACAAGCGTCATATGGTCACGTGATGACATTGTACGTATTTGTGCGTGATGACACGTTTCGCCTGGGAGGATTCCTCAGGACTGTACGACGCTCATATTCCTGAAAGTATTCCCCATTGTTTCTGCAGCTTGGAAACTGCTTTATGTATGCACTATATGTTTTAAAGGTATAGCACACCTTTTTTATTGTTGATGTGTAACAATGTGTTTTTTGAGCTATTTCACCCAAAGGTGCAGCTTTCTTTGCCTTTTTAATATATACGCATTGTTACATTGTTTTATCACTTGTATCATTTTACTTCTTTTTGCTTGTATACCTATTGTACACAATAGAAAGAACACACAGTGCATCGTAGTTTGCTACATATGGGGATGTGTAGCCACAGACCAGTCAGAGTGTCCATGATGACACCTGTCAATCACCAAAACTTCTTCAATGGGAATGTGAGCATAAGAACTAGACCATGGAGCAATGGAATAAGGTTGCCTGGTCATCAGAGGAGGGAGATGTATAATTTTTTCAAGCTCTAAATTCCTAACTTGGGACTGTAAATCCATTTATTTGATTTGTAGTGAGGGATCTGGGTTGAGTTTGTTCTTATGTGTAAGTTCTGTCAGGTCATGAATCGGCTTTGTGTATGTCTGAAGTCTTTGTTTCTTTGTGAAACTTGAGTGTTTTATAAAAAGGCACCAAATTTCTGCCTTGTTTGCCTGCCAGATAACATCAATGTTTATTTCAGTTGTTTTGTTAATAGGAAGTGAGTTTCTCCCTAATGTTTGAGAGTATGTTCAGATCTTTAAAAGGGTTATCTTTCAACTGCCAAGAACCTGTCCCCTTAGATGGGAAATGTTCGCTTTGTGTCCGTAAGACAGGTACATGATCTGATCATGGAATCAGACCTATCTGTGTGCCCTGTACTTTTGTCATGTGTATGGAAGGGGTTAGAAACCTATCGATTATGGTATAGTTGTTGTGGGCCATGGAATGGTATGAGTAATCAAGTGAGGTGGAGAATTTGCATGGGTGCAAAAAGTTGTGTCGTAGGATCATGTGACATAATTTTGCTGCAATGTTACCCTGTTTCCTAGCTATGGCTTAAGCTACCATTGATGAGGAAGAAGTGCCAGGGTATAGTCCAGAAGGAATTTAGTATTGCTCCCTATTATGATATCTTCACATTTGTTTGCAGTCGTTAGGGCCAACATCCTTTTAAAGACAATCGTTATGGTTTTCGTGTGGGCCATGCTTACTGAGGAGTGTGTATTGTTCTTTCTGTAAAAAAAACACAGGAACAGTAAATATCTCCCCTCCTTGTCGCTTATCTTCTTGACGAAAATGAAGGAGACACCCCTCCCTCTAAGATCAACATTCACTAACAGGAATGGAAGTTATGTGGGAACTGCTTTGAACAGAATCTGGGCCTATTCCTCCACATGAAATGGTTTTCTTGATAGAAATCCACATGGGCGTTATATTTTGTGGACTCTTTCATTGCTGGCCAAAACTAATGCAAGGAGGTAAGGCCATTAGTATTAAGTGATAATATTTTTAAGACATGATATTTTTGGGTTGGGAGCAGTGCTAATGAATGCTTGTTATTCTGTGACTTCTCATGACAGTGGTGAGTATGGCATCTAGGCCCGCCTCCCACACAAGAGAAGGATGTCAAGGGAAACGACACTTCTCCCCAACTTCTCTCTTACTCTCTATCGCTGAAAAATATGCTAGCACCATAGAAGAATTTGATGCATCTGGAGAGTTCCATTCGTGAATTAAAAAATTATAAAGGTAGTTAGACAGTAGTAACAAGGCTCTAGGGAGCCACAGTGAGTGGTGTTGAAAAGAGTGGCAGATCCAAGAGATAAATCTTCTTTTCCCTTCCTATAAAAAAAATGTACATGCAGTAGTGAAATAATCCCAATCCATCATCCGCCTAATGCTAGCACTACAGGAGCAGGCACATTTAAAATGCATGCAGACAGGGCTGCCACAGCCCACCATCTGTCCACTACACAAACATACAATCTGAATCATCTATAAACAGCGTATCCACTTTACTCACGCACTTTGTATCCACTACACACATTCTATAGCCACTATATACACACAAACAAATTCAGTACATACACACTTCATCCTTGTGGGTGGACTTAAGATGGGCCCTGTGGGTGGATTTGGAAGCGGGTCATGTGGGCAGACTTGGGGCAGGTCATGTGGACTGACTTGGGGGGCG